TTCGAATATCGCTAGGGTGTGCTAATGAGACCTACACTACAGTCTACTCTAGATAAGAATAACCTTTGTGAAAACCGAATGAAACATCATTGTGAGAAAATTTGGCTACCTTATCAGGTTAGACGAAATAGGGTGAATGCACTTCATATATGTTCCACTGGTAGTCTCGAAAACCTACTTATAAACGAAAAATGATTTATGTAAGCCTTTAACACTCCTTACACTTAGTATTTGTCTTTAAAACGTAATCCATAACTTTCATCCAATATTTACTCCCTTGAATTCACCCTTTTCTAGTTGAGCTTGTGCATAATTATATTTGCCATCTCTTCATCCTCCAGATACTTCTCAGCATCCAAAAGCTTCTTCTTCAGGCTCCCTTGTCCGTGATAGTCATGTTATTCGATCTCGCATCTTCAGACGAAGCGAAGCCTTTTTTCCTGTGGTATCCCATCTCCATCAACCTCTTGTTTCTGCCAGTCCTGGGCAATCTCCCAGAACCCGCGAGCCCTCTGCAACACCCCCGCATACCTATCTTTCGGCCGAAAAGTCGACAACCAACCAGACGGCCCCTGAGGACGAAAATTATCTGACAATCTTTCCCATTTCCGGACAGGCTGGAGTCAATGGATCGAATGTCCTGGCAGCTAACCAATTGACCGTTAGCACTGCCATTGATTCCACCTCCACCTCGGCGCTTATTTCTTGTACTTCCGGCCCCAGTACAAATGTCACTCATTCCTTATCTCTTCGTCGCCTTGGCAATCAGGGGTTAACTTCGGTTTCTGGTATTTCGCGGCCTACTGCTGAGATTACGGACAATGTTGCTTGCAGCCTGAAACCTCTTGAGTGCGGACGACAGCACCTGGGAGATAAGTCCAAATCAGATAACCTAGAAGAATTGGTGTAAGTAGAGACCTGGTAGCTCTCCAAGCAATCTTTGGTATCTTGAGTTTGACCATCGTGATCGTCGTTGGCATCTTAGTCAACTATATATCATTTATTTGACGCTATAACTAGAGACTTAAGTGGGATTACTGATTAAACTTTTGATCTAATGAGTACATTATTCCTTGTCACTGGCGTATCTTTTACTTACTGCTCACACATTTTTTATATATTTTTGTCAGACTCATCTGGTAAATCACATTATTTTCTCGATTTTGCGTTGGCAACACCAAATTGCTCCATTTGCTTACTGTATTCTTGTTGCCTTGACTAGCCAATGTTCCTATAGTCTACTAAAGTAGCTTATCGGGACTCGAATTCTTAGCCAAAGTTCTACCGAATTTTAAGCTTTGTTGTCCTTATTAGTTCATATGTAGATTCTATTCGTTTTTATGTGAAATCGATGATTATTTTTATACCTATGATGAACTATGGTACATTAAATAGCATCCTTTGCCCTTTATAATTTTCACTATTTGTGGCTATCCTTCAATACCATATATTGACATAGTTTAACTTTTAATTTTTAATTCTAATCTTTAAGTCATATTGACAGGAGCTTGGTGGTAGAAGCATCCAAAGGGGTTCGGACACTGAGACGCGTTTGTTGTAATATTAAAATTGGTTATCTATCGCACGCTCGACAAAAGAGCATTTATGTTCGTGTAACACTGATGTGGTGTTTCATCGAATTTTTACTAAGATTAATGCTCATAGGAAGAAGGGAAAAAATTGTGATTATCATTGAAGACTTTATGTTTCGTTATGAATGTTTTATCTGCTCAATTATACTTTAGAGCATAACCTGGGTTACATTATGCCTCTAATTACTCTTGGCGCATAATAATCTGCTTAAAACCCGAACTGAGATTGCCTTAAAGTTACATTTTC